GGATGCAGAAAGACCCTGTCTCTCTTTAAAAAAAAATGGGGAAAAATGTGGGGGAGGAGGTTCAACTTCAACATTACAACTGAATTCCATTTTCTCTCATGTTGGCCCAGCGCTGACAGAGTGTGGGAATGGTCCAATCAACAGACACCCCTGGAGTTTCCCGCAAACCCCCATCAGCTTTCTCAGCTCAGGCTCTGAGAACCTGCACGCCACCTTTCCAGAGATTCCTGCGTCCCGGTCCTAGGGCTCTGGCTTCCTCACAGGCTGTTGGGCCAGTATGGGGAGTGTGGGCTTGGCCTGTGAGCTGCCCACAGGAGGCTCCCTACCACCACTCTACCTGGCCCCTCTGTGTCCTGACTGCCAGTTCTGCTTCCTGTCGGCTCTTTGGTGGTGACAGGAAGCAGGGTGAGCTGGTGAGCACAGTGGCCCGCAGAACTTTCCAAGGGAACAGAGCATACAGGCGGGCTCTGGGTAGGCTCCAGAGCAGGGTTTTCATTGCTGGAGAAACAACAGGGATGAGTGAGTGCGGCAGCTTTCCCCTGGTCACAGAGCAACTGCACAGGTACCTCACGACAGATACCCACAGAGCGGCACATCACGTTTGTGCTAAGAAGCTCTAACATACACGTTTCACTTCAGAGCAACAAGCTGCCACCAAAGAAAAGAAAAGTGGATTAGAGGTAGGGGCAGCGCCTGTGGCTCAAGGAGTAGGGCGCTGGCCCCATATACTAGAGGTGGCGGGTTGAAGCCCAGCCCTGGTCAAAACTGCAAAAAAAAAAAAAAGTAAATAAATCAAAAGCAGACTAAAAGGGTCAGAAAATATAGGACAACTTGCACAGAGTGGCTGGCAGGGTAGGGGTTGAGGCAGGGACTGGGCAGGGGCAGGGCAAGGGCAGGGACTGGCGCTGGGGCTGGGGCCCTGTGGAGCCACTGCTTGAGGCCCCATGCAGCTGCTGAGGAGAGAGGTCACCCCAGTGTTGGGCTCCCAAGAGAACAGTGGCCCACGTGAAGAAGCAGGAGCAGTAGCTTACACATGTGAGATGTGGGGGTGCCCAAGGAAGCCGCCCTTCTCTACGGGCATTGACACCCCCCCACCCATGGTGACCTTGGCTAGGCAATGGAGAGTGAGTGGGCAATGTGTATGCAGGAATATCTCCAAATTCTTGCTGGGTCCTTCTTCAGGAGAGTGGCCTGAGCCAACCAGTGGCTCCGTGTACCCTGCTGCATCCCCAGCCAGCTCTGGGGTCACCGCAGCCCTCATTGAGAGAGAGGCTGGCAGCCCAGCTCTGTCTGGCCCAGCCCCCACGAGGGTCCACCTGCAGAGAAGGCCTGGCCACAGGTCTGCAGGCGGAGGAGTGGCCCCCACCAGGGGCTTCAGTTGGCTTCCTGGGCCTTATTTCCCAGGATGCTTTCTGTTACCCTGGCACTAATTGGTCAGTCTCCACAACCCACTGCAGCAATGTGTAAATCAGGAAATCAGAGACACAAGTTGCTCTGAGCTTCTTGCTACCAAAGATACATTATGCCCTTACCCACCACATCTATGACTTGTGTGAAATTCAAATCAAATCATAACAACGTAACATCAACCATACCATTTTATAAGGTAAAAATTCTCATTCCTGCCTTCCCTAAACAAAGCCCACAGTCCTGGCATGAGAACAGAAGTACTAGCCAATGGAATGAAATTCAGCAAAATCTAGAAAAAATTGCCAATAACAACAAATAAGCAAGGCAAACCTGACTGCCAACTTAGGTCCTGTGCATAGGGAAGGACATGCCAGGCCCCTACCCCACCAGACCAGCCAGAGGGAGGACCTGGACACATTCCCACCCCCACCTGTGACACCTTCCACAGATAGCTTTGGAGTAAGGCTGCATCTAGCCTCCAGAATGGGGACTACAGCTCCAGTCTGTCCCAGCGTCTGGACTGTGCCACATGGTCAGCACCCAGCAGCTGGCCTCCCAGCCTGCTGCTATGGAAGCAGCCTGGATGACAGAGACTCCACAAGATGAACCTAGAGTCTGGGGTTGGGGAGACCACAGGCTCTTGCAGGACTGCCCATTCACACCTATGGCCACACAGTGAGGATTTAGCACAACAGAGCAAGTCCCTGTCCTAGGGATATGCCTCTGCCAAGGGACAACTGGCCCGGCAGGTGTCTCCCAGTACAGAACACCTAGGGAGAGAGAGGCTGCAGCCCACTGTACCCAGCAGGCAAGGTGGGCTGGCTCGGGGGCCACAGAGGAAAGGGCTCATACCACACTCAGTAGGAAGGGCCAGGGAAGGGCCCTCAGAGTCCCTGCTCAGGGCCCACTCCAGAGGCCCAGGGCACTGAGGGCCCCACCTAAGATCTTCCTGTAAAAAACACTTGGGCTTGAAGCAGCCAGCCTAAATGACCTTCTGGGGGTGGTGGAACAGGGGTAAGCAGGTGCTTCTAAAGCCCTTCATTTGGGTGGTGCTGGCTTCGGAAGGCTTGCTGATGCCACTGCAGTCGGCGGCCAGAGGGAGGGGTGAAGTGGGACTGCCTGGCCATGAAGCCTGGCTCTATCAGCTCCTTCCTGGGGTACCTGGGGATGTGTGACTTCTCTGAGCCTCACTTCAGCAGTGTGACCTGTCCAGGGGCTGTTGAGGGACTGAGGCAGACATCACCCAGAAAGCCCTCCCAAGAGGCTAGTGCTGAGTACCCACCTGTGCCTCCTGGTCATGGCCACTATCATCATCATCATCAGGCTTTCACTTTGAAAGATATCATCTAGATGTCATCCTAAGATAAACCTGCTCATGGTCCCTAGGGAGACCCAGTGCTTGCCGAGAGGAAGCAGGGCCAAGTCCTGGGGCTTGTGGCCATTCTGGCTCTACATAACTCGTCATAAGTTGTCACCAATAGTCACTACAATCAGGTCTGGGAACGAGGGGGGCTCTGGGCCCCACACACTGGCCAGCTAGGCCTGCCTGTGAGGTCAGTTTAAGAACTTTGTTAACAATTTCAAAACAGAGCTGTTTTCCTAACTTCCAAGAGGAAAACCAATTACAGCATTGTAACAAAACAGTAAATGAAAAAGAGATAAAATGTGTCCCCTGTGTGGGTGCCATCCCAGAGAGCCATACCCACAGCTGCACGGAGAGAAAAGTGTGCTCCCACTGAGCACAAGGCCCCGACAAGTGACCCTCTACCAATGCACACACAGGCAAGGAGACCATGCCTAAGGGTGCCAGGGCTGCATGCACAGGGCTTTGCACCCCCGGGGACAACCGGGCCACTGTGAGCAGCTGAGGACT